GGGGAATTATGGAAACCGTTAATTTGGCGTCGGAAATGATCTGAAACTATACCTCAAGCACATGAAATCGTGACTTCATGCATTCTTGGCAAGGTCTAATGCTTCACTTTTGCATTATTCACCTTGCGTGACGTCATTTATGACGTCACTAGGGTCATAGGAGTGTTTCGTCAATAACTCCCGATCAAAATGAGCTAGCCATTCGGGACAGCCATCAATGGACTTTGCAAGACTTGCCGAATCAAATGTTATGCAGCATGTCCTCCTTTCAACAGCTTCGTGACCTGCGTTGCCCTAACATGACATTGACCTGAGGTAGACATCCTAAATTGCTTCACCTAAACAAAAAAGCATATAAATCGACGCGTCTGAGAACAGAAAACACGATTGTATCGAAATGACGAAAATGCGTTTAGTTATATACCAAGAACCGATCAAATACCTTGGGGCCCTTGACCTGCCCTAAGAGGTCACTGATATTTTAAAATGAGGTGCCAGTCGCTGCGTCACGTAACGACGCAAGCGCTCTTTTTTTCGCGAGGCTCTAGCAGCTAGCTCAATTATAGGAGCTAAACATGGGGTCGGGGAATCGCTCCCTTCTCACTCAATATTTGGCCGGGATAGTGTTTGCAATTTTTGTTAAAATCTAGCATTTTAAGATTTCAAATGACCCATTTTTTCCCGCCCAAGTCAATTCATATTCGCCCAATTCAAGGTCATAACATCAGGTTACGTCAAGTGAACTTACCTCAAGGAAAGTTCCTGTGCTCATCATATCTAAATACACCGACTAACCGATCGCTTCAGAACTTTCAGCGATTCTAATGGGCAACATTATATGTATTTGAAACGTTTACTTTGCAAGTTTGACATTGTTGACAGAGAGGCCGGGTCAATTTTGAGATCGCTCAAGGCTCAAGTCAATGGGAGAAAATTGAACTGCACTTTTTGGACGGAACGCATAATAAACACTCTGAAAACAAGTGGTGCTTGATGAGATACAATACTGAATGAGAAAATTGTTTGTTTTGTTGGGGGCCATCTTTTTCGGTCTGAAAAGGCCCTTGCAACAGAACATAACAAGGCCCTACAACTAACCGCCTTTGTTTTAACATCACGGACGGCGCGTATGACACCCACATGCTGCACACTTGTTTTTATTTGGCCCAATCGCTCTGGAATTTCTCAAACTCCCTGACCGGTCAGTGAGTTTGCAAACTCCCTAGTGAATTTGTAAACTCCCTAGTGATTTTGCAAACTCACTGATGGGTCAGGGAGTTTGCAAAACTCCGAGTTTGCAAACTCACGGATTTCTCAAACTCCATATATATATATATATATATATATATATATATATATATATATATATATATATATATATATATATATATATATATATATATATATATATATATATATATATATATATATATATATATATATATATATATATATATATATATATATATATATATATATATATATATATATATATATATATATATATATATACACGGACTGCCTGCATATACGGACGGACTGCCTGCATCCGGCCTCAAATAAAGCTCTATTCCAGAATGGGAAACCGCCAATCAGCAGCTTGGTACCTAGGTGAATTGGATCAACGTCCGTGTCAAAAAGTCCGCAACTGGCCTTGAAAACATCCCAACATTGATAGACATCTCGCTAAAATAAGTTCCTTGCCCAGTTATCTCTTGATCTGCTTAAAAAGTATTTTGCACTACTATCGCCCGTACTAACATTTCATTGAGCTTAAGTTCCCCTGAACTCAGAAGTATGTTCCAAAATACATCGCTCTTCATTACAGCTCTTTTAATCCACATAACCTTGAGAGCACTATCATATATTGTGACATTTGGCACTTTAAATCTGGTATACATAACAGAGCGTTTGATTTTATCCTGCTTGTTGTTCCAAATAAATCGGAAAAACATCACCTCGAAATCATGAAGACCGACTTCGGCGGAGAAGGCAGTGCATTGAGGATGTGCGTCAACATTGGCAACGCCAGCGTCTTTACTACCGTGCGCTTCCCATAAAAAGATAAACGCCTTCTCAGCCATCCTCTGAGAAGATTTGCAATGTCAACGACCTTCCTTCTCACATTACGTTCTGACATGTCTGTCATTGTTCTGGTAAACTCGATGCCAAGAAGTGTGAATTTTTCAGCAGCAACCAACAGGTCTGTGTTGGCCAAAAAAGCGGGAGACGGCCGGGAACCCATCCAAAACACTTGAGTTTTCTTAGCATTTAAAGTAAGACCTAAAACCTCCCCAAACGCTTGTAGCGTAGTCAAGCAGGCAATCAGGCTTCCCCGTGTACCATCTAAGATAAAAGTCGTGTCATCGGCGTATTGCTCAATTTTACATTCTTTGCCGTCCCTGACCCAGCCTCTAATTTGCGGATTGTTTCTCACCATGATCGCTAAAATTTCAACGCACAAAACGAAAACTAAAGGTGAGCAACAGTCACCCTGTCTACAGCCCCGTTCTACGTTAAAGAATTGAGTCGACGTACCATTTTGGCAAACGGCCGATACGGCCCCTGTAAACATTACCCGGATCCATTTTCTGAAGCTTTCTCCAAAACTGAACTTCTTTGGGACATCCTGAATGAACTTATGATCTAGAGAGTCGAAGGCGCTCTGAAAATCAGCCAACAATAGCATTAGGGTACTTGAATTCTTGGAATGTTTCGCCTCCCACATTACGTCGTACACAGTTCGTGTACACTCACCAATGTAACGTCCTTTCATGAATCCCTTTTGCTCCTGTCCTATCAATTTATCAATAACCAATCGCAGCCGGTTTGCAATCACCCTGGATAGTATCTTAAAAGAGGTATTGAGAAGCGAAATAGGTCGCCAATTTTTAATAAATTCTTTCGGCTTCTTTCCTTTTGGAATCAGTGTAATTATGCCCTGTCTTTGGGAACACGACAGAAGATTCTTGTCGTAACCACTGTTCAATGAGCGAACTAGAAAACCGCTAATCTGCTTCCAGAAGAACTTGAAAAAATTAACACTAAACCCGTCCGGCCCTGGAGACTTATCATTTCGTAACTCGCGTAAGGCTTGGGTGGCTTCTTTTAGAGTTAATAGGCCTTCTAACGTACGAGATTCATCAGAGGTCAATTTTGGATAGTCATCACCAATCTCTTTCTGACAGTGATTAATATTCTTTTGTGCCCGTGCCTTGTAAAGGCTACTAAAGTGAGCCTCTATGCAGTCTAGCACTTTGACATTATCGTTTACCAATTCACCGTCGACATTTAAGCAAGGGATGTATTTTGCAACACTCTGCCTCTTTTCCAGCCCGCAAAAATACTTCGTTGGAGACTCTCCCTCCTGTACCCAGCGGACACACGCCCGCTGCGCCGCACCGGCCAGCTTTATCCGTCGGAGGTCTGAAAGCTCCTGCTGTGCGCAAACCAAACGTTCACGATAGATCTCCCCTTCCCCGAAAAGGCCTTCCAATACTTGCATTTTCAAGAGCCAGTACTTCCTCGCGTCTATCTCTTTCCCGTTTCTTCCGCGCACCGTAGGATATAGTCAGGCCACGAATTTTGCATAGCAAGACTTCAAAAAAGAGTTGATCATCAATAACTAATGCAATATCGTTACTCTCTTCAACTTCATCGCTGGTGTAAAGTGGAAAAGCATATTGTCTTTTAATCTATAAAATCTCTGCATTCACCAAGTCAATGTAGGTGGAGTCTTTCAGCAACGAATTATTAAACTTCCAATAGAGTCCACGTTTACTTTGCATTCCTTCACTTATTAACAATGCTAGTCAGGCTGTGATCAGACCGGTAACCTGGTAAAATAAATGAGCTGGAAACCAGTCTCGACACCGCTAACGAGACCAAACAATAATCTAGTCTTCCAAGTCTGAGAGGGGACGATCGCCTCCAAGTATACGACCTTTTCGTCGCGTGTTGCTCCCTCCACACATCAACCATACCCTCTTTCTCCATAAACTCTAGAATCACTTCCCTGGCCCGGCGGTTACCTTGAGAGACATAGTGTTCAGTGTCCACATTAGGATTTAACGTAACATTCCAGTCTCCTACAATAACAACATTGTTATTATCGATATACCCTATTAAAGAAAACACTGACCTGTAGAAACCTGGGTTATTATCATTAGGACCGTGCAGAACTGCCAGCGTACATCGTCCGGGACCCGCCAGCTCGATATCTAGTATACGAATACTGCATGGGGGAGCGGGCAATAGCAAAAAATATTGCCCGATGTGACGTCACTGTCGCCCGAGGGTGAAGACCGAAACAAGTGCTATTGCCCGAGGCGAAGCCGAGGGCAATAGCACTTATGGAGGTGACCTTTGGTGACCTGACCTGTGACCTGACCTTGTATGACCAGTGACCTCAAATAGCAACATATGTACTAGACAACTGACGCCCTATCGCTGATTTTCGACAAAATGCGTTTTACTCGGTGTTATAGCACTTTCCCTAGAAGCCCCGTGAACGGTGAAACATTTTATCTTTGACCTGACCTGTGACGTCATCGGTGACCCCGAGGTCAATGAAATTTGGTTTCCCTCGACAAATTTGACAGGGTTATCAAACGCCGTTTGAATTTTCCGGATCCGTCCAGTAGTTTCGGAGATACGGGGGGGGGGCAAAAAATGCCCCCCACCGCGCGGAAGGTGGCCGGGAGGCCCACCGCCTGCCGGGTTAAGAACGGCTGGGGCGATTGCGCACAAATTTGGCACAATGCTCTAGACCGGTCATTGGGGTGCCGTGCACAAGTCAGTTGGAAGAACCCTCTCGCACTTCCGCACGTGCAGGGCTCACTCTGTCGCCCGCTCGCTCTTCGCTCAAAAGGCGTTTTTACCGGTTTAATTAATTAGGAAGGCCATATTCTCCTTAAGGTCATACCAATGTCATAGTCATGGATCGTGATATGTGTATAAATTACATTAACTTCTACTGTTTTTTTTTTTTTCAATTCCAGAGTTATGTTCCGGCTCTTTATGGGTATGCCTCTTGGGACGCCTGACGAAAACAACAACAGCCATGTAGGGTAAGTAAGAATTTATGACCTTTCCTCGTAAAATATAAATTAGCAAAAAGGATATATTGATATTGATATTTCGATCACAGATCTTCGTCGGAATTGTTAACAAAAGACAGAATAAGAATACATTTCTTGTCTGCTCCTTTCTTTATCTCCTATTTCACTATTCGTTATCACGAGCAATTAAATCTAAAGTACATCCATTTTTCAAATCATGATAACTTTTAGTCGACATACGAATACAAGTAACTGAAATTTGTTAAGCCTAATTAACAAACTTCTTACATTAGAAAATACAAATCAAAATCCTAAATTGGCGCACTGCATTCTAACACTCATCTACATAAACGAGACAGGTACATCCAGTGACACACATCCATACACTTACATAATAGGCCAAGACGATACATTCGAGTTCAGTTCCGGTCTGCGTTTTCTAATCAAAATAGACTCTGCGATTTTGCGATCTGGGTGATCCGTTGCCCTATATAGCACTGACACACTTATGCTATAAGGAATGTCCCTGGCATCTGGGTGAACATTTCCAAAGTGATCACCCATAGGGGTGTCTGGTTTGTTGCCAATGGCGTCTCTCACATGTTCATTGTACCTAAGCCGTATCGGGCGTTTCGTTTCTCCTATGTACTGTGCACTGGTCGTTCCTGCACCACACAGTTTACATGTTAACATGTAGACTACATTCTTTTGTGTACACTGGCCTGTGAACCCACTCTTGCACAAATTACACCTATTTCCCCCTGGACAACGAGGTTTGCTAAATGCTGAACGAACTAAACGTTTTTTTTAACTTCATATCATTTCGCCAAGCCAGCTTTACATTGAGTCCGGATTTCTTAATAATGCTGTTCACTTTGCACAGTAAATGCTCATCGATGTATGGCAAAGTCAAATAACCGTCATCCCCCGCCTTCTGTGTGTTCCCACGTTTTTGTTTTGTCCGTTTGTCGTTTTGTACCTCTCTGAGGAGCCTCTTGAGTAGATTACGTGAATAACCATTTTTTACCAGTAAAAGACGGATCTTTTCCACACTGGAGGCTCCCTTAGCTTTGCTAGAGGAAAGGTTCAGCGCCCTGCGAAACATGCCCCTGATCATGTTGTGTTTTGTTGAGGTGGGATGTGCCGAAGTGGCATGCAAGACAATGCCCGAATTCGTCGGTTTTATGTACAGTTCTGTCTCTACTTAAGCTGTCTGGTTTCCATTCGACTCTACCGTTACATAGGTGTCTAAGAAAGGGACCCCTTTTCCGTTTTTTGAGTGATCTAGGGTGAATTTCAACTTTGGGTGCAAGCCATTGAGCTACGTCAGAAAGTTGAACAGCTCCTCCTCTCCATGATTCCATATTCCGGCAAAATCATCTATGTATCTAACCAAAAAGTCTGGTTTGAGCGCCGCACCTGTCAGAGCTTGTTGTTCAAACTTGTCTAAGAAGATGACTGCTAAAGGCGGAGCGCACGGGTTGCCCATAGCGATGCCCTGCTTTTGCCTGAAGAAGGCATCTCCAAACGAGAAGACATTGTTGTGTAGGCATTGATCCAGTAGAGCACATATGTCCTCCTTGCTTAGACCAAATGTTTCAATCCCCCCCGCGTGAGCTTCTAACTTTTCTTTGGCTGCTTGAATGGCCTCCTCTACAGGTATGCTCCCATACAGATTTACTACATCTATACTGAAGAAGATGGACCCTGTCGGAAGTGACTGTCTTTGACAGTGATCATTCATTCTTTTCAAAAAATCGTTAGTGTCACAGAGATGAGTTGGAATGAACGCTAAAAGCTGCTTTAATATTCTCTCGAGAAGGCAAGCTGTCTTTTCGGTAGGCCCACCCGAGCCTGAAACTACTGGGCGCAATGGAACTTCGGGCTTATGGTCTTTAGGAAGGCCGTAAAAAACTGGAGTTCTGCTATGCATGGGCGTTAGATCTTCCACGTTTTTCTCTGAAAGTTTATCTTTAGCTACCGCCTTGAATACCTGTTTAGTCTTCGCTTCCACCTGCGGAACTGGATTTTTCGGCAACTTTTCATAACTCTCATTGTCATTTAAAATCGTCTCAACTTTATCCTTATAATCCTTCCTATCCATCAGAACGAATTTTCGTTCAGCGCGTGCATCTCTGCCGCAGGCTGGCCGAGGCCGGCGCCGAGCAGAGAGCACGCGCGGTAGGCTCAGTTGTTCGCTTAAAAAACTGAGTGAAAAGCATCAGAGCCGGGAGGTCGTTGACCTTTGACAACGAAGGCCGACACAAGGCACCGCTCGCCAAGAGGATTCGCCAGTAAATACAATTAATTTGTTTTTGCAATAACTCAGCCGTTTCTGGGCCGAGTTAGCTGAAACTTGGACTGTCAGTGGTAGTGTAGTGTAGTGTAGTGTAGGGTAGGGTAGGGTAGGGTAGGGTAGGGTAGGGTAGGGTAGGGTAGGGGTAGGGTAGGGTAGGGTTAGGGGTAGGGTAGGGGTAGGGTAGGGTAGGGTAGGGTAGTGTAGTGTAAGGGTAGGGTAGGGTAGGGGTAGGGTAGGGTAGGGTAGGGTAGGTTAGGGTAGTGTAGGGGTAGGGGTAGGGGTAGGGTAGGGTAAGGTAAGGGTAGGGTAGGGTAGGGTAGGGTAGTGTAAGGGTAGGGTAGGGTAGGGTAGGATATGGTAGGGTAGGGTAGGGTGGGGTAGGGACTAGGGGTAGGGTAGGGACTAGGGGTAGGGTTTGGTAGGGTAGGGTAGGGTAGGGTAGGGGCAGGGTAGGGTAGGGTAGGGTAGGGTAGGGTAGGTTAGGGCAGTGTAGGGGTAGGGGTAGGGTAGGGTAGCGTAGGGCAGGGTAGGGTAGGGTAGGGTGGGGGTAGGGTAGGGTAAGGGTAGGGTAGGGTAGTGTAAGGGTAGGGTAGGGTAGGGGTAGGGTAGGGTAGTGTAGGGTTAGGGGTAAGGTAGGGTAGGGTAGGGTAGGGTAGTGTAAGGGTAGGGTACGGGTAGGGAAGGGTAGGGTAGGGAAGGGTAGGGTAGTGTAGGGGTAGGCCTAGGGGTAGGGGTAGGGTAGGGTATGGTAGGGTAGGGTAGGGTTGAATTGAGTAACATCCTAATTCTTACAAAGGGCTCGAACAACTCGCATGCATTACCATCATGCTTTACAGTTCAATTAAAAGCAGTTACCCAGTTCTACACAAATAATATACCAATAAATATGCAAGTTTCTACACCCAAACTAATGCATCCGTTAATCATGCATATCAAAACATACAGTTATCGCGTAAACCTGTTGTACAGTAGGTCTACTAAAAAAGTCCCCCGCTCCAGAGGCGGCCGGCCGGCCGAACCCCCGGATTCCAGCCCCGACTCTATTGCGCAGGCCGCGGCAGCGACACGGGTCAGGTCGCGGCGCCCGGCGAGTGGGTCAGTTGGCGGCGGCCGGCCGTGGAGTGAGGACGCCGTGTGTGGGGCGCAGAGATGCCGCAGTGCAGAGGAGGGGAAGATAATGACTCTACACAATGTCGGAAATGATGCCTTTGTGATCTAAATTAAACACCTGCAGTGCATATCCTCCCTTGCCCCATTCCTGTTTTATCATAATCCTTCAATAATCTGTAATGGCCATTCAGCGCAAGCAAGCAAACAAAACAACCCGTTTAGCGGCGACATCATCTCGGATAAAAAAGCGACAGTGATGATTAGAATAGACTTAGCGCGAGGGCAAATCGAGGGGTATAACTATATGTATCACATACCGAGTATTTTATTCCCATCTAGCGAATTAAGATTGGGGATCTTGTCCAACAAGTCAGCGGCCGTTCTAGACACAGAATAATGCTTTGCTTTTGGTCACATCATTATCTGCAATAATTCGAAGCGAGGTTTAACCCTCGCCGGCCGAGAAGAAGGGGTGGATGCCGCCACCATCAGACTTGTAAACGACTCAATTTTTTTGAGTCGATTCTTTGTTTGAGTCTGGAAATTTGAATCGATTCATCAAACGACTCATGATGTTAAATTTAATTGATTCGAATCAACTCATGACTCATCAAGTTCCTCGATAAAATAATTCGAATCAACTCATGACTCGAGCAACTAGCCAACGGAATGATTCGAATCAACTCATGACTCACACATTTTGATGAATCGATTCAAATCAACTCATGACTCACACGACATTTTTATTGAACTTATTTCATTCAACCCATGACTCACTATAGGCATTTGTTGATTATTTGACTCAAAGCTATATGATAAGATGAATATGTCGCATACCACAATTGTATTAAGCGGCATAGTAGCCTTGACCAAAGATTCAAGCAGCTACCTAGTAGGACTAGGTACATAGGTAACTACTTTGGCAAACATGGTTGATGCAGTTTCCAGTTCCTAAGTCCCAATTCCACTTTTGAATTCTAATATTCCTGCAGATTGGGCTACCTATTCTGTAGCATACTGGTCACTGGTCAGTCTTGCTTCAATTTCTTATCTTGTCACCTACAACAAAGCAAACAAGTTCTAACTGCAAGCAGTCCAGAAAATAGGTACTTCAATGTTTGTACACATCACTTCCATTCAGTTTGCTGTACACACCCAACAATATTTTGGGCTCTAGAAATCGAATACCAATAACATATGTAGGTAAGTATGACTGAAATCCATTTATAATGGACACAAATCCAATTGAAGCAAGGCTGACCAGTTGCAAATCTTACCTGCCTTTTCAAAGACATTGACATACCAATTACCAAAGTCACTGTGCCCACCGGAAGTCGCAGTTCATGTCTGATACCCATGGCCTTGGTTTGATATTTAAATGCATTTCATAACTCAATCAGCTTTGAAATTATTTCTATCTGTATGAAATGAATCTAAGGCATTCTCCAGAAGCCGTGATATTGAACAGATTTTTAGCCAACTGGCGCCGCATGGTGGCGCTAGCAGAGCGTATAACACTAGCGCTCTACTAGCGCCATCATACGGCAACAGCTGGCAAATAACTGAGTCAATACCAATACCATTCTCCAAGGCCAATGGT